ACTCCACCAGATATTTATGATACCAAGAGAGCTTTTCTTAACCAGAATGTTATACAACCGTGTATTAAGTGACAAAGTAAAGCTTAGAAGTCCCCTTCGTCTCGGAGGAGAAGGGAAAGTCTCTGGCTTTCAATTTCTGGAACCCTTCCATTGAGGAGAAAGGCGGGTATGGAAGGGGATTAAATACTATTATAAGGGTCGGGGAGAGAGGAGAGAAGTGCGGGAGTAAATAGGAGAAGAGAAGTGTCTTGTGGTGAATTACCAAGGGAGAGGAAGAGGCAAAAATTAAGAAAAGGAACAGAGGAGGGCAGGAGGGAAACATTTAATGTGGGGAAAATGTATGAGAGATGGAAGAGGAGAGAGGAGAGGAGAGAGAGGAAGTCGTTGGTAAGAAAAGGGAGATGGAGAAGATGTCAGAGTGGAGAGGGATGCTGAGAGACTATAGTGGAAAAGAGGGTATGAAGTAGGGGTGATGGAGGAGGGAGATGGAGCCTGGTTGATAATGGAGGGAAGTGGAGCAAGGTGGGTGTTAGGAGGAGGGGGGGGGGGGGGGTAATGACCGCCAGGAGAGGTAAGTGGCGCTTGTAGGAAAGGAAGTAGGATAGAGGGTAAGAGGGAGAGCCTGAATGATGGGAGAGGGGGAGGATGGGTAATGGGGAAGGAGGGCAAGAAGGGATAAGCGAGGTAGTTGATTAGGCGATGTGATTGGGGAGGGAAGAATGAGGAAGAGAGTGAGAGAGAGAGAAAAAGGGAGGGAGAGAGGGAGGGAGAGAGGGAGAAAGGAAGGTACAGAGGGAGACAGGGAAGGAGGGAGGGAGAGAGGGGGGGAGGCAGGAAGGAGGGAATGAGACAGGGAGTGAGAGATAGAGGGAGGAAGGGAGACAGGAAGGGAGGGATATAGGGAAGGAGAGAGGTAAGGAGGGAGACAGAAAGGGAGAGAGGTAGGGAGGGAGACAGGGAGGGAGAGAGGGAGGGAGAGAGGGAGGGAGGGAGACAGGGAGAGAGGTATGGAGGGAGACAGGAAGGGGAGAAAGGGAGGGAGGGAGACAAGGAGGGAGGGAGACAGGGAGGGAGAGAGGTAGGGAGGGAGACAGGGAGTGGAGAAAGGGAGGGGAGAAAGGGAGGGAGGGAGACAAGGAGGGAGGGAGACAAGGAGGGAGGGAGACACGAAGGGAGGGAGGAAGAGAGGGAGGGAGACAGGGAGGGAGAGAGACAGGGATGGAGGGAGACAGGGAGGGAGACAGGAAGGGAGACAGGAAGGGAGACAGGAAGGGAGACAGGAAGGGAGACAGGAAGGGAGACAGGGAGGGAGACAGGAAGGGAGACAGGAAGGGAGACAGGAAGGGAGACAGGAAGGGAGGGAGATAGGGAGGGAGTTAGAGGTAAGGTTTTTGTGTTTCAGAAAACTTAAGAAAATATATTTTAAGTTGTTAGGAGACAAATTAAGACAATGAAGCGGAAGTTGGGAGATATGCATTGTTAAGGACGGCCAGAACTGTCCTCAGCTGGTGGGGGGCGGGCGGGGGGTGGTACGGTGGCGTCCTCAGCTGGTGGCGGGTGGGCGGGGGGAGGTACGGTGGCGTCCTCAGCTGGTGGGGGGCGGGCGGGGGGAGGTACGGTGGCGTCCTCAGCTGGTGGGGGGCGGGCGGGGGGAGGTACGGTGGTGTCCTCAGCTGGTGGGGGGCGGGCGGGGGGGAGGTACGGTGGCGTCCTCAGCTGGTGGGGGGCGGGCGAGGGGAGGTACGGTGGCGTCCTCAGCTGGTGGGGGGCGGGCGGGGGGAGGTACGGTGGCGTCCTCAGCTGGTGGGGGGCGGGCGGGGGGAGGTACGGTGGCGTCCTCAGCTGGTGGGGGGCGGGCGGGGGGAGGTACGGTGGCGTCCTCAGCTGGTGGGGGGCGGAGGGGGGGTGGTACGGTGGCGTCCTCAGCTGGAGGAGGGTGGGCGGGGGTGTGGTACGGTGGCGTCCTCAGCTGGAGGAGGGTGGGCGGGGGGAGGTACGGTGGCGTCCTCAGCTGGTGGAGGGCGGGGGGGGGGGGGGGGGTGGTACGGTGGCGTCCTCAGCTGGAGGAGGGTGGGCGGGGGTGTGGTACGGTGGCGTCCTCAGCTGGCGGGGGGCGGAGGGGGGGGGTGGTACGGTGGCGTCCTCAGCTGGAGGAGGGTGGGCGGGGGTGTGGTACGGTGGCGTCCTCAGCTGGTTGGGGGCGGAGGGGGGGGTGGTACGGTGGCGTCCTCAGCTGGAGGAGGGTGGGCGGGAGTGTGGTACGGTGGCGTCCTCAGCTGGTGGGGGGCGGAGGGGGGGGGTGGTACGGTGGCGTCTTCAGCTGGAGGAGGGTGGGCGGGGGTGTGGTACGCTGGCGTCCTCAGCTGGTGGAGGGTGTGGCACGGTGGCGTCCTCAGCTGGTGGGGGGCGGAGGGGGGGTGGTACGGTGGCGTCCTCAGCTGGAGGAGGGTGGGCGGGGGTGTGGTACGGTGGCGTCCTCAGCTGGAGGAGGGTGGGCGGGGGTGTGGTACGGTGGCGTCCTCAGCTGGTGGGGGGGCGGAGGGGGGGGTGGTACGGTGGCGTCCTCAGCTGGAGGAGGGTGGGCGGGGGTATGGTACGGTGGCGTCCTCAGCTGGAGGAGGGTGGGCGGGGGGAGGTACGGTGGCGTCCTCAGCTGGTGGAGGGCGGAGGGGGAAGGGGGGTACGGTGGCGTCCTCAGCTGGAGGAGGGTGGGCGGGGGTGTGGTACGGTGGCGTCCTCAGCTGGTGGAGGGTGTGGCACGGTGGCGTCCTCAGCTGGTGGAGGGTGTGGCACGGTGGCGTCCTCAGCTGGTGGGGGGCGGAGGGGGGGGGTGATACGGTGGCGTCCTCAGCTGGTGGGGGGGGTACGGTGGAGTCCTCAGCTGGTGGGGGGGGGGGGGTATGGTGGCGTCCTCAGCTGGTGGGGGGTGGTACGGTGGCGTCCTCAGCTGGTGAGGGGGGTGGTACGGTGGCGTCCTCAGCTGGTGGGGTGTGTGGCACGGTGGCGTCCTCAGCTGGTGGGTGGTGTGGTACGGAGGCGTCCTCAGCTGGTGGGTGGAGGTGGGGTACAGTGGCGTCCTCAGCTGGTGGGGCGGGGTGGTGGTACGGTGGCTTCCTCAGCTATGGTGGCGTCCTCAGCTGGTAGGGAACAGGGGTGTGGTACGGTGGCGTCCTCAGCTGGGGGTGTGTGGTACAGTGGCGTCCTCAGCTGGTGAGGGGCGGGGGTGTGGTACGGTGGCGTCCTCAGCTGGTGGAGGGCGGGGGTGAGGTACGGTGGCGTCCTCAGCTGGTGTAGGGCGGGGGTGTGGTACGGTGGCGTCCTCACCCGGTGTAGGGCGGGGGTGTGGTACGGTGGCGTCCTCAGCTGGTGGGGGGTGTGGTACGGTGGCGTCCTCAGCTGCTGGGAGCGGGGGTATGGTACGGTGGAGTCCTCAGCTGGTGGTGTGGGGGTGTGGTACGGTGGCGTCCTCAGCTGGTGGGGGCTGGAATGGAACGGAGACGTCCTCAGCTGTTGGGGGCTGGTATGGTACGGAGACATCCTTCGCTGGTGGGGACTGGTATGGAACGGAGACGTCCTCAGCTGACGGGGGGCTGGTATGGTACGGAGACGTCCTCAGCTGGTAAGGGAGTTGGTATGAATCGGATACGTCCTCAGCTGGTTTGGGGCTGGTATGGTACGGAGACGTCCTCAGCTGGCGGGTGGCTGGTATGGTACGGAAACGTCCTCAGCTGGTGGGGTGCGTCTATGATGCCGAGACGTCCTCAGCTGGTGGGACCTGGTATGGGACGGTGGCGTCCGCAGCTGGTGGGGGGTGGTATGTTACGGTGACATTCTCAGCTGGTGAGGGCTGGTATGGAAAAGAGACGTCCTCAGCAGATGGGGGCGTGTATGATGCCGAGACGTCCTCAGCTTGTGGGGGGGCTGGTATGTTACGGTGACATTCTCAGCTGGTGGGGCTGGAATGGACCGGAGACGTCCTCAGCTGGTGGGGGCGTGTATGATGCCGAGTCGTCCTCAGCTGGGGGGGGGCTGGTATGGTACGGAGAAGTTCTCAGGTGGTGGGGGGCTGTTATAGTACGAACACGTCCTCAGCTGGTGGGGCTGGTATGGTATGGAGACATCCTCAGCTAGTGGGGCTGGTATGGTACGTAGACGTCCTCAGCAGGTGGGGAGCTGATATGATACGGAGACGTCCTCAACTGGTGGGGGCTGGTATGGTACGGAGACGTCCTCAGCTGGTGGGGGGCTGGTATGAATCGGATACGTCCGCAGCTGGTGGGGGCTGGAATGGAACGGAGACGTCCTCAGCTGGTGGGGGCGTGTATGATGCCGAGTCGTACTCAGCTGGTGTGGGGCTGGTATGGTACGTAGACGTCCTCAGCTGGTGGGGGCTGGTATGATACGGAGACGTCCTCAGCTGGCAGGGGGCTGGTATGAATCAGATACGTCCTCAGCTGGTGGTTGCTGGAATGGAACGGAGACGTCCCCAGCTGGTGGGGGCGTGTATGATGCCGAGTCGTCCTCAGCTGGTGTGGGGCTGGTATGGTACGTAGACGTCCTCAGCTGGTGGGGGCTGGTATGGTACTGAGACGTCCTCAGCTGGCGGGGTGCTGGTATGGTACGGAGACGTCCTCAGCTGGTAAGGGGGCTGGTATGAATCGGATACGTCCTCAGCTGGTGTGGGGCTGGTGTGATACGTAGACGTCCTCAGCTGGTGGGGGGCTGGTATGGTACGGAGACGTTCCCAGCTAGTGGGGGCTGGTATGGTACGGAGACGTCCTCATCTGATGTGGGTTGGATTATTACGGAGACGTCCTCAGCTGTTGGGGGCTGGTATAGTACGGAGACGTCCTCAGCTGGTGGAGGTCTGGTATTGTACGGAAACGTCCTCAGCTGGTGTGGGGTTTATATGATACGGAGACGTTCTCAGCTGGTGGGGACTGGTATGATACGGAGACTTCCTCAGTTGGTGTGGGGGCTGGTATGGTATGGAGACTTCATCAGCTGGTGGGGGACTGGTATTGTGCGGAAACGTACTCAGCTAGTTTGGGCTGGTCTGGTACAGAGACGTTCTCAGATGGTGAGGAAATGGTATGGTACGTAAACTTCCTCAGCTGATGTGGGTTGGATTGGTACGGAGATGTCCTCAGCTGTTGGGGCTGGTATGATACTGAGACGTCCTCAGCTGGTGGGGGCTGGATTGGTACGGAGACGTCCTCAGCTGTTGGGGGCTGGTATGGTAAGGAGACCTCCTTAGCTGTTGGGGGCTGGTATTGTACGGTGACGTCCTCAGCTGTTGGGGGACTGGTATGGTACGGAGACGTCCTTAGCTGTTGGGGGCTGGTATGGTACGGAGACGACCTCAGCTGGTGGGGGCTGGTATGGTACGGAGACGACCTCAGCTGGTGGGGGCTGGTATGGTACGGAGACGACCTCAGCTGGTGGGGGCTGGTATGGTACGGAGACGTCCTCAGCTGTTGGGGGTGGCATGGTACGGAGACGTTCTTAGCTGGTGGAGGCTGGTATGGTACGGAGACGACCTCAGCTGGTGGAGGCTGGTATGGTACGGAGACGACCTCAGCTGGTGGGGGCTGGTATGGTACAGAGTCGTCCTCAGCTGTTGGGGGCTGGTATGGTTCGGAGACGTCCTCAGCTGGTGGTGGCTGATATGGTAAGGAGACATTCTCAGCTGGTGGAGGCCTGGTATGGTACGGGGACGTCATCAGCTGGTGGGGGTTAGTATGGTACGAATTCGTCCTCAGCTGTTGGGGGCTGGTATGGTTCGGAGACATTCTCAGCTGGTGGAGACTGATATGGTACGGAGACGTCCTCAGCTGGTGGGGGCTGGTATGGTACGGAGACATTCTCAGCTGGTGGAGACTGATATGGTACGGAGACGTCCTCAGTTGGTGGAGGCCTGGTATTGTACGGAAACGTCCTCAGCTAGTGGGGGGGCTGGTATGGTACGGGGACGTCATTAACTGGTGGGGGTTGGTATTGTACGGAGATGTCCTCAGCTGGTGGGGGCTTGTCTGGTACAGAGACGTTCTAAGCTGGTGGGGAAATGGTATGGTACGGAGACTTCCTCAGCTGGTGGGGGTTGGATTGGTACGGAGACGTCCTCAGCTGTTGGAGGCTGGTAAATTACGGAAACGTCCTCAGCTGGTGGGGGGCTGGTATGGTTCGGAGATCTTCTCAGCTGGTGGGGCTGGTATGGTAATGAGACGTCTTCAGCTGTTCGGGGCTGGTATTGTACGGAAACATCCTCAGCTGGTGGGGTCGGAAAGGTACGGAGACGACCTCAGCTGTTGGGGGCTGGTATGGTACGGAGACGTTCTCAGCTGGTGGGGGTTGGATTGGTACGGAGACGTCCTCAGCTGCTTGTGGGTGGTAGGTAAGGAGACGTCCTCAGCTGTTGGGGACTGGTATTGTACGGAGACGTCTTCAGCTGTTGAAGGCTGGTATCGTACGGAGACGTCCTCAGCTGGTGGTGGCTGGTATGGCACGGAAACGTCCTCAGCTGGTGGGGGCTGGTATGGTACGGAGACGTCCTCAGCTGGTGGGGGGCTTGAATGGTACGTAGGCGTCCTCAGCTGGTGGGGGGCTGGTATGTTACGGAGACGTCCACAGCTGGTGGTGGCTGGTATGGTACGGAGACGTCCTTAGCTAGTGGGGGCTGGTATGGTACAGAAACGTCCTCAACTGGTGGAGGCTGGAATGGTACGTAGACGTCCTCAGCTGGCGGGGGCTGGTATGGTACGGTGACGTCCTCAGCTGTTGGGGGCTGGTATGGTACGGAGACGTTCTCAGCTGGTGGAGGGCTGGTATGGTGCGGTGACGTCCTCAGCTGATGGGGGCTGGTATGGTACGGAGACGTTCTCAGCTGGTGGAAGGCTGGTATTGTGCGGTGACGTCCTCAGCTGTTGGGGGACTGGTATGATACGGAGACGTCCTTAGCTGTTGGGAGCTGGTATGGTACGGAGACGTCCTCAGCTGGTGGGGGTTTGTATGGTACAGAGACGTCCTCAGCTGTTGGGGGTGGCATGGTACGGAGACGTTCTCAGCTGGTGGAGGCTGGTATGGTGCGGAGACGTCCTCTGCTGTTGGGGGCTGATATGGTACGGAGACGTTCTTAGCTGATGGGGGCTGGTATGGTACGGAGACGTTCTCAGCTGGTGGAGGGGGGCTTATATGGTACGGAGACGTTCTCAGCTGATGGGGGCTGGTATGGTACGGAGACGTTCTCAGCTGGTCGGGGGCTGGTGTGGTACAGAGACGTTCTCAGCTGGTGGAGGGGGGCTTATATGGTACGGAGACGTTCTCAGCTGATGGGGGCTGGTATGGTACGGAGACGTTCTCAGCTGATGGGGGCTGGTATGGTACGGAGACGTTCTCAGCTGATGGGGGCTGGTATGGTACGGAGACGTTCTCAGCTGATGGGGGCTGGTATGGTACGGAGACGTTCTCAGCTGATGGGGGCTGGTATGGTACGGAGACGTTCTCAGCTGATGGGGGCTGGTATGGTACGGAGACGTTCTCAGCTGATGGGGGCTGGTATGGTACGGAGACGTTCTCAGCTGATGGGGGCTGGTATGGTACGGAGACGTTCTCAGCTGATGGGGGCTGGTATGGTACGGAGACGTTCTCAGCTGATGGGGGCTGGTATGGTACGGAGACGTTCTCAGCTGATGGGGGCTGGTATGGTACGGAGACGTTCTCAGCTGATGGGGGCTGGTATGGTACGGAGACGTCCACAGCTGGTGGGGGCTGGTATGGTACGGAGACTTCCTCGCAGGCGATGAGTCACAATAACGTGGCTGAAGTATGTTGACCAGACCACACACTATGTTTAACACAACCATAACATGCTTTCTGAGCCGAGGAGGGCTTAGATGTGTTAAATATGCCAAATCAAGAAGAGAGAAGAAAAAATGTGAAATGATCACAATATACAAAATAGCAAAAGAAAATCAACAAAATTGACAAAGAAGAATTCATGAAAACTGCAACTTCAAGAACAAGAGGTCATAGATTCAAGTAAAATTGACCAGACCACACACTAGAAGGTGAAGGGACGACAACGTTTCGGTCCGTCCTGGACCATTCTCAAGTCGGTTGTGGAGGACGGGAATGTGGAGGATTGAGAATGATCCAGGACGGACCGAAACGTCGTCGTCCCTTCACCTTCTAGTGTGTGGTCTGGTCAACTTACTTTAGCCACGTTATTGTGACTCATCTCCTGCATTCAATTAAAAGTAACAAAGTTGTTGAAAAAAACATTAGAAAGTTCACATTTACAAACCGAGTGGTAGACGGTTGGAACAAGTTAAGTGAGAAGGTGGTAGAAGACAAGACCGTCAGTAGTTTCAAAGCGTTATATGACAAAGAGTACTGGGAAGACGGGACACTACAAGCGTAGCTCTCATCCACTAACTACACTTAGGTGTACTTACACTTAGATAATTACACTTATGTAAATACGACATACACAAACACACACACACACACACACACACACCTGATGACTGACGGTTGAGAGGCGGGACCAAAGAGCCAGAGCTCAACCCCACAAGCACAAATAGGTGAGTACAAATAGGTGAGTACTCACACACACACACACACACACACACACACACACACACACACACACACACACACACACACACACACACACACACACACACACACACACACACACACCCACGTCTGCGGCATGTGTGATGCGAGGCTGGCTAACATCAGAACAGCCTTCGGGAACCTGTGTAAGGAATCGTTCAGAATCTTGTACACTACATACGTAAGACCAGTCCTGGAGTATGCGTAAAAGTAATTAGTAACAGTTGATCGACAGTTAAGAGGCGGGCCGTTCAACTGCTTTCCCCTGCAATGGACAACTAGGGGGAGTGTAACTCCGGGGAAGTTCAACTCCCGTAAGCACAACTAGGTGAATACAACTAAGTGAATACACACACACACACAGAGGATATAGACTCATTCCTCTCAAAGTTGGCTGATGATGCAAAAAATATGAGAAGAATCAAGACAGTTGAAGATGAACAGAGACTACAGAACGACCTGGACAAACTGGTAGGATGGTTTGGAAAATGGCTACTAAAGTTCAACTCAGCTTACTGTAAAGTAAGGAAATTAGGCGAAGGGAGCAGAAGGCTGAATACAATGTACCATCTAGGAGGTGATATCCTGCAAGAGTCAAATAGAGAAAAAGATCTAGGGGTTGATTACAAACGAAACCTGTCCCCAGATGCCCACATCAAAAGGATATCATCAGCGGCATATGCTAGACTGGCCATCATAAGAACTGTCTTTAGAAACTTGTGTAAGGAATCGTTCAGGACCTTGTATACCACTTATATAAGACCAATCGTGGAGTATGCAGCTCCAGCCCGGATACATACCTAGTTAGACACAAGACAAAGTTAGAGAAGGTTTAGAGGAATGCCACCAGACAAATCCAGGAACGGCTAAGGGAGATGAACCTCACATCACTGGAAATCCGAAGAGTAAAGGGAGACTAATTGTACTCACGTAGAGGTGCTTGCGGGGGTTGAGCTCTGGCTCTTTGGTCCCGCCTCTCAACTGTCAATCAACTGATGTATAGATTCCTGAGCCTACTGGGTTCTAACATATCTGCATTTGAAACTGTGTATGGAGTTAGCTTCCACAACATCACTGCATAGTGCATTCCATCTGTTAACTACTCTGACACTGAAAAAGTTCTTTCTGACGTCTCTGTGGCTAATTTGGTTACTCAGTCTCCACCTGTGTCCCCTTGTTCGCGTACCACCAGTGTAAAACAGTTTATCATTATCAACCCTGTCATTTCCTCTGCGAATTTTGTAGGTAGTGATCATGTCTTCCCTTACTCTTTAGTCTTCCAGTGTCGTGAGGTGCATTTCACGCAGCCTTCCCTCGTAACTCATGCCTCTTAGTTCTGGGACTAGCCTATTGGCATTCCTCTTAACTTTTTCCAACTTCGTCTTGTGCTTGACAATGTACGGGCTTCATGCTGGGGCCGCATACTTCAGGATTGGTCTTACATATGCGGTATACAAGGTTCTGAATGATTCCTTACACAGGTTCATGAAGGCTGTTCTGATGTTAGCCAGCCTCGCATATGCCGCAGATGTAATTCCTTTTATAAGGGCTTCAGGAGACAGGTTTCGTGTGATATCAACTTCTAGATCTTTCTCTCTGTCCGTTTTCATGAAGTACTTCATCTCCTATTTTGTATCCTAAGTCTGGCCTCCTGTTTCCACCGCCTAGTTTCATTACCTTGCATTTTCTCGGGTTGAACTTTAGTAGCCATTTGTAGGACCATTCATTCAGTCTGTCTAGGTAATCTTATAGCCTCCTACTATCTTCATTTGTTTTAATCTTCCCCCTCAGTCAGGAAAAATGATGGAGGGACAGACCACCCAAACGGGACAGCTTAGAATAGTGGATACTATCTTTGAATGGCTCAACCAGACAATAGGGGGATTCGGCAGAAACCTGCAGGCAATGCAAATGTGATTCAGCAGAGACCTGCAGGACATGAAAGAGGGGTTTGGCAGAGACCTGCAGGAAATGCAAGCATTAATACAGAGCCAAAGGAGTAAATTGGAGGAAGCCAGAGAGGAGATAAAGAGACTCAGGAAAAATCAGAATTCAAACCAGCACAGGGTATGCAACCTCCTGGAAACAGGGGACGAAGCTGATGGAA